TATGTGTGTGTGTGTGTGTGTGTGTGTGTGTGTGTGTGTGTGTGTGTATACATATGTGCGTGTGTGTGCATTATATATATTTATATATATAAATATAAGCATACATACATGTATACATATATATTTTTGCGTCTTCCGATGAACTACTACTTCTGTTGTCACTAGTGTCGATCTTTGTACAACTTTCGCTGTGTGGGTAATACATATGCATGTAGAATTTGTATTGCTTTTTGACTTGTTGTTTACTATTTCTAGGTACCCGGTTTCATAATACAGAAAGTATGACTTGTTAGTTGTTTATGCTGCACCAGTGGGACAAATATTAATATTGGCGATTCCTATGCGGATTGTAACGATTTTAAATCTCTTGTCCTTTGAGTTTGTCTTGTATCGAAAGGTTTCATTGGGCCAACCATCATGTACAGTAGAAAAATGAGTACATATTTGTACATATTTGTTATGGTAGTGTTTTGCCTACGGACCCGCCAAAATATATTTAGGACGACAAAAATGGTAAATATGGTGCTCACTAGTAAAGAACCGGGGACCGGAAGACCACTAGCCGGACCCTACTACTACTACTTGAGAGAGCCCTATGTTCAGGAGTTTGTGGCACCTCGAAAAATTTACTCAAATCGGGGTTTTTCAACGGATTTGGGCTTATCTCATCCTCCTAAGCTAGTTCATTTTTTGATGCGACCAATATTTCAAAATACAAAATACAAAAAAAAATCGACTTCCTGAGGCTAATGAAGAACAAGGTGTTGCTATAAATATCGATAGAGCTTCAAAGTTCAAACTCTTCGGATTTGGACTCCCCAGTCCCCACCGAGAAGATTCATCCCCCCAGCAGGGGACAACAATTCTCATTATATTCTGAGGGTCAGTATTCGAAGCCGAATTTTCAAATAAAGCTTTATTATTCAGCGTGAGATTTCGAAATTTTGTAATTTTGTAATTTTGACCCAGGTGGTGACCCAGATTTCTGGGGCACGCCATATAGTGTTTTGGCCCAATTTTTTAATTGCAGTTTTGGATGGCTCTCTAAAAGCCGAGTGCCATGTTCAAAAATTTCAAAAGTTATAAATAATACGCATAGCCTTCTGAAAATAGAGCAAGGCTATGATTTTTAATATTCATTTGTTTTTTTTGGGGGGGGGGGCTTTTTCGACACTATTTAGTAGAAGCTAAATATGAGAAAAACCTCTTCTTCTTTTTTTTTTAAACAACAAATCAAACAAAACAAAACACAAAACAGTGAAAAATCACGGCCCTCTCTCTGTGGATCAGTCTCGACTCTCGCTAAATAAATTTACGATTTCCGCTACTACATACTTATTCATTTTCAAAAACAAATATACAGATTACATACTGTGTATTTATGTATTTACATACATAAATATTTATGTAAATAAATACTCTCTCTGGTGGTGGGAGTCTGGGACAAATAAATATTTACATGCACAACTGATGAACTCTTTTGTTTTGTTTTTTATTTTTAAATCTCAAAAAACAAAACCAAATAGTATTTGATATTTTTTTAAATTGTTATATCTCTCCGAAAAAACCCCCCGAGCAATCTGACGCTTACACGGTTGGAACAAACTGTGCTCAAATTACGTCAATACTATAATCATATTAGATATTTACAAAGATAAATAAGTAATCCATTAGCTTCCTTACAAGCTGCTGCAATTGGCGATCAAGTGTATAAAGCCATTGGACCTCGGGTAGATACGACTTAAATATGTATCGTAAGAAGAAAAATCTGACCGTCGCTGCGCCGGCTGAAGACCAGACATCGTACTCGCTGTAAGTAAGAATGTAATCATATATATTGTGTGTTTCACTTTTATACGAGAGCTTTGAGCACTAAAATTTGAGAGAAAGTAGATCTATAAATATGCTTTACATTTGTAAGCATTGAATTTGTTCTAGTACGATGATGAACACTTTACAACAGTTGACTTCGTAGCAGCAAGTCGCTAAATTATCCAACAGCTACTAATATTTTTGTACTTATCACCTGGTAATACCTTCGCCTACATACGTATGTATATTTTTTACGAAAAGTCGCAGACGGACATGTATGTATTTTGATATGCTTTCACTCGTTTGTTCATACAAAAATTTACACACCTATATCCATATAAATATTCTTATTTATTATTCAATATATATATATGTGTGTGTGTGCGTGTGCGTGTGTGTGTGTGTGTGGGTCTGTGCCTGTTTATATTTATAATTATGTATATATGTATATATATTTGTATGTGTGTGTATGTATGCGT